AGTCCAATTTTTTGTTATTTACATGAGGCTGCTTTTTTAGCTGATAACTCTGCACGCGAGCTCGGCAATCTGAACAATCCGGAAAAAAAGGCCGAGCAGAAACACTTAATGTGCGCTGGGAGATAAAAACACACAGTGAGTAACGAAAAGAGATTTCATTTGCATGTAATTCGTTTGCAATTCCTTTTTTTATTTGGGCAAAAGACCTTGACAATCGCCATGTGATGACGCGCCAATGTCGAATTGGGATAGGTTGTCATTCTGTCCGATGGCGATTTTTTATCCACAACAACTTTATGGATTTTTGGCACTCAGCCAGGGGGCAAATAAAAAGGTGAGGGGGCAATGCGTGCAGATGCAGATATTCATTTGCATTTGCACATCTGTTCAAGGCCGAAGACCGAAAGCAAAACAGAGAGATGGCAACGCCCAATAAAAAAAAAAGGCAAACAAAAACAAGCATTTAAAATCGCTTTATTGTTATCCAGGTGCGGAAAGGGGGCCGGAACGCAATTAGCCGCGGATCCAACAGATCGCCAGCCAAATTCCCAGCGCCACTGTTTGGGGCTTGGGGACGGGAATAGCAACAGTCCCAATTGAATGTAATAACAAAATGCAATAAATTCTCGCAAAAGGCAGACAAAAACGGACGGGGTGCAGTCCAAGTCGAATGGAAAATACCCTTGATGGACCAAAAATAACATCTGCTAGGACTCAAAAGGTTAAAGCGGAATAAATAAGCTAAACATAATTTACATAATCATATAACCCAATGCTAATAAATCAACGATTTGTCAGTTTATATTATAATTTTTTAAAGATCAATTTACTTAACACAATTTTAATATTAGGTTAAAATTCACCAATACATTATGTTATACCTATCCTACAAAGTATAAAAAAAAAATTTTGAGTTTAAAATCAGTCAAACTTATTTATTTGAAAGTGTTCCAGATTAAAATTATCGGCTTAATTAGGGGGTATTATAGCTTTAAGACTTCTTATTTTGTTCAGTTCCTTCAACATTTTTGTTTAGAAATCAATATAAATACAAAAAAAAAAAAAAAAAAAAAAAACCTGTCATTGACATAAAAAAAGAAAAGGGTAAGTAATCGTTTAATATATATAGGTAAATATTTATCTTTAATGGTGTAAATTGATTTAAAAAATACTATATCCACCTTTTTAGAAGCTTTACATACGTTTATGTTAACTACAAAATATTATTCAAATTTTCTACCTAATGGTGACAACAGCATAAAGTTAAGTGCTGACATGGATTACAGACAAGCCGTTCAAAATATAATTTAAATAAGCAGCAAACTATAACGCCGGTTTTATGTCTGTTGTCGAGCCGCAATTAAAAGTAATGATCGCAATTAATGGTGGATTTTCGTGAGTTTTTTCCTTGTGCACCAAATACATCAGCATTTCGCATCGACCACCACCTCGCCAGCGCAATCAATTAAGACGCAAACAAAAACCGATCGCTGCCGGCTGCACAGTGGGCCAGATCGGTGAAATAACATAAGTTGCTGCGATTGCACGACCGCCAAAGAGCAGCGACTGCGACTGCGACGCGACTGCGATCGCTTTTGTGGGGCAGTCGCAGACAGAAGCGAATTGTATCTGCGAGAAACGAGTGCGCAGGCAGTCCAAAAGTTCGACCGAACGGGTCGCCGGCAGTCGTGTTTTTTGTTTTTTCTTTTGTTTTTTTCTGCGGCAAATGGCAAGGGGCCATCGGTTTTCGCCTACCGGTTGAAAAGTGCCGAAAAACAGAACGAGAAAATCGAATGTAAACTCTCAATGGCAATTAAATTGTTTGGACAACAGCTGGAACATTTGAATACAAAATCGTATAGAATTCAATTGGTTCTTCCGCATTTAAACAAAGCACAGCACAAGTTTTTGATAAAATGTTTAAAAATATATATTTGTGAAATAACCAAAGTTAAATTGCAATCAATAACAAATGGAATTACAATAAATTACATTTGCATAAATGATTATAATACTATCTTTACTGGGCAACCCGAGTGAAACGTCATTATTACTTAAAATATATTTATTAAACAAAATCATTAATGACTAACAATAATGAAATGTCAAATGTCACATAGATACACGTTTGCCTAAATTAAAATTAGTAAACAAATCGTTAATCACCATCAATGGTGAAATGTGAAATGCGCGATAAGATTGGCTTTGTTATTCAGATTGTTTGCTTGATTGCCACAATTTGTGTCAATTATGCGTGAGTGACACGCCCTTTGTACCACCGCCCACGCTTTTAATTGAAATTTGTCTGTTTTTTGTCGTTTCTGCCGCGTTTCGTGCCTTGTCTGCGTGCGAAAAATGCTCAGTTTTCGCTGATAATGAAAATTAAAGCTGAACAAAGCTCTTGAAAGCGGGAAATGGCGGGGAAACAAAAAAAAAGGCAGTCAAGCAAAGGCAATAACGAAAACGACGGCTGAGCAGCGCCCTGAGGCCAACAAAAATTAAAGCAGACCAACCGAGTGAAAGTATGGGATTCTTATTGGAAATTACCATTCGAAGATTCGAATCTCGAATCGATTTTATGATGATTTAGCAGGTTTGAGTTTACAGCAGCCACCGCTCATGAGACTCTTACCAAGTGTTCAGATGTGGGCTAAGTGCTCTGGAGGGATTCTCAGAAATTACCCAAGTGTTGATATAATTTATTGATCCACAGAGATGGAAGTAAGGCACTTATGGCTACCCTGTCTCATAAAAATTAATATATATAAGGACTAGCCTTAAAAGTGTATTCTACAATTAACAAAAAAAGTGTAAGGTGTATATTACATATTGCTCATAAGGAATGTGTGCAATTTTTAATAGTTAACAAAGCAACAAATTCCTAATGCCTACAATGTATGCAAGTAATTTCCAGCCTGGAATAATTCTAGCAAAGTGTCGAGGCAGTTTATGAGCAAAGTATTAAATGCAAGTTGACTGTAAAATGCCCTATAATTTTCTACACTTTGAGTATTTTTCTTCAATCAAAACCATTCGCCTAATAAAAATCGTTCATACCCCAAATACTGTATGCTGTGCAAAATGATTTGTCGCCGAGAGAGCATTTCAATGGGTTTTAATTGCCCTGCTTGCAATTGAAATTTATTGCCTGGTGTTTGTGATATCTAAAGCAAATTATTCATAAATTACTATCTACTTGGCCGAATGACGCCAACATTATATGTTATCTACTGTGTAGTACAATATTACGTTTTTATCTATGCAACCGAATTCCGATGGCTTTCAACATGCCCATTTACATGTCGAACGGGCAAATGGATTTCAGAGCAATTACCAATGGGAATTTACCACAATATTTTATCTCCATTTCGGGCAGGGGTTATTTATTTGCCTGCCCAAATATTTGGTATTTCTATTAGAGCCAAACCGCCCGCCAGACTAACCGAAGCGCAATAGCGAAAATGTTGTGATAGTTTATGGTCAGTCCGTGTCTCTGGCAGATAAATAATTATTGCATTAGCCGCGCAAATGTTGAACCGTTCTCAAGTCGATTCGTTTCGTTTCGTTTCGTAGCAACGCCCCAGCTTGATTTTTTAGTCGGGCCGCGAAACGTGACACTTGGCTATCAGATGTGGCACCATGGCTAATAAGCGGGGGCATGTGGCACGAAACAGGCAATAGGTAACAGGTAACAGGTAACCGCGGCGAAGGTTGCGGTTTGGGGAGCTGTAAGCGGAGATCCGCCCACATCGAGAATTCATCGGCTATCCTCCAGTTTGGGGCTAAGTTAAGCACGCTTACAAAATTAGCAACAAGTAATGAAGTGGTAAATTACGCTGATAAATTAAGTGTTTTATTTGGACGCGAGTGATGTCTAAGAAAATTACCACTATAAAATACTTTTGTTTCATATATTTGGTGTTACACTCAGTCAAACCTATATTTAAAAAAAGGTGGGTCATTTGTTTTCATCACATTAAGTTAATGATAACGTGGATCAAAATACACTTGCAAAATAACAAAAAAAAAAAAAAAGAAAACAAGCCCTTATATATGAGCAATAAATAATGAAGTTAAATAAAAAGTCTTAACAGCTAATTCTTTATACCTGCCAATACAAGAAAATATTCCACGCAACACAAAAGTAAATATTTCCACAAAAGTTTCCTACAAATGTTCTCAGAAAAGATTTGATAAAAATATTTAAGGTATCGAAATGGTAGTTTCTTTGAGGTTTTGTATCTTTATCTTTTTCATGAGTCACAACAAAATGGTTTAGGCGCGTCAATCAGTGTTGCACAATAGTTTGATAAATACATCAAGGCAATTAAAGCATTAAATGAAGATATCACAGCAAGAATTGAATGTTGTTTTTAGCTTATCAAATCTAACATAGCGGTAATTACAAATAATTTGTACAAACATCAAGGCTAAAAGAAAATTTACTGATTTGCAAAAATATTGTTTTTTAGCATAATGTCAACATTATAATAAATTTAATCTTAAAACTATGATGGAGATCTGTCTTCATTTTTTTTATTAGTAAAAAATAAAGTACTTATACTTTATACAAGATTTTTTGTTGGCACGTGTTAGGGAGTTCCTTGACCCTTAGATAAAACCATATTCAAAATTTTTATCAGTTGCGAGGGGATTTAATTTCTATTTCCAAATCATATCAAATCACTTCTTGTTTGCCTTTTTCACCGCATTCGAATGGATCGCCGCGTAGTGGGTCCAAAACCGGCTGGTCCGTGGCCATTTAACAAGTTTCGTTCAGCCGAATCAATTAGCGGTCGTCAAGAGCGCTGACGATCGGATCGCCAAGAGCGTCATCAAACGATTCAGATATTGGACTCGCATCGTATGGGATTTACTTATGCTAATCAGCTGATTGCGATGCAAATGAGAGGTTAACAGGGCTAACAACACTGCTGTTGGCTAACAGAGCGCCCGAAAGCTCGCTACTTTTATTTCGCTCCAGAAAAATGATAGTCGGTTGGCCAGAACGCGTTTGTGACTCGAGCGAAGCGCACGTGCCGGAAAAACGACGATTCAAGTCCGTAGAGCCAAGAGGACAAAGGCGAAAGCTGGGGAAAAACTGCCCCTACATTTTCCAGCAACAACAACAACATCCAGTGTGTGTGTGAGTGCGTGCGAGAAGAAATCTTGTGTAACCCAGAGCGAAAGAGAGAAAGAGAGAGAGGGAGAGCAGGAAAATTCACCACAGCCCCATGGACTTGGATTTTCCGCTCGTGTGAAAATATTCGCACGCTCACTACGTTTCGGTTCGCCCGCAAAGGCAGTTGCTGCTCCAATTCCCAATCTCGTGCGTGCAGTGCAGTGTAGTCCAATAAGACCAATCAGAATAAGTCATCGGTCAAAAAAGTAAACAAAATAAAATAAATGCCAAATGCTAACAATTTCTGGGCACTATTAAAGCAATGGAATTCTAATAATACCCCTTATCACAATAACAGAAAAGCGGTCATAACTATACCATCCATTAGCCATCAAACACGGTCATAAAAAACGGAAGGGGGGTTACGGTCCACAAAAAAACGCGAGCAAAAGTAACTCGGAAATGATAGTAACTGTTGCTTGTCGCTCACAAACACAATCGTAGTGCTAGTCGCACGGAGTTTCAAATGAGTCCTTTGTGGATTTGTGTTTGCGATTCCGTCCTCGGATTGTGGCTTCAATCAATGTGAACGTTGTAGATTTTGTATGCCTATGCAGGGTAGCAAAAGAGTTGAACTAACTATACCAATAATAATATAAAATACATTTTAAATTATGACAAAAATATTCAAATAATTAAGATTGACCAAAAAAGGCTTTTAATCAGCTTGTAAAGAGATAATAAATCAGCGAAGGCAACACGACGTATGATTGATTTATATGGAAACACTCGCATATGCTTAAAAGTCTCATGCTAAGTAAATAATATGAGCAGACGTACTTCGTACTTGTGATAGGTTTAACATTTTCTTCATTTCTCAAAATTAAAAACAAAGAGCATCTATTAAAATCCAACAAATCAGCTTTTAAAGAAATACTTAATCAGCAAAGGTAACAGTGCGTATGATTGATTTATATGGAGACTTTTTACGAATGCGAGTCGCGTATGCTTAAAAATCTCGTGTTAAATAAATTATAGCCGCAGACGTACATAGTACTTTTGATAAGTTTAACATGTTGCAACAAGAGATAATAGTTTATTTCACAAAATAGAGCAACTACTTCAACCACTTTGAGTAATATATTTCAATACAATTTAAGCACTGCAAGATCAATTTTTAATTAATATGCAATGAATAAATAAACCAAAACCAGCTTAAGGTGTTTCTGTGAAGTTTACCTGTCTATAAATATGTTACTTTACTGAATGCATTTTTAAAAAGATCTATTTTTCGTTTTATTTACATTTACTTTATTCAATCAATATTTAGGGTATAAACAAATCGAATCCCAAATTGAGCCACCTGCACAGGTGAGAGCAGTGGCCAGCAAGAACGTGTCTGTTGGCGAAGCACACAAAAATTGGCGTTGCAAAAATTTCAATAAAGCTGAAAAACAAAAGCAAAAAACATTGAAATAAAAATTATTTCGTTTGCACTTCGCTTTTTTATTTGCACGCGCGGCGGGCACACTCTTCGTCTCTTTTTGCGTCTCTCCTTCAAGCAGCTGGGAAAAAATTATATTATTTGCAAGTTATTATATTGCTGTTGTTCCGCCCTTAACCCTCTCGGAAATTCTTTTGTATAATTAACCGTCGGCACATTAAATTTAATGCTAATTATGAGCTTGTTTGTCCGTCAAGCCGGTGACATTTGCTTGAGTTTTTGTTTAATTGCTGCGCTTGTTATGAGAAAAATCAATTGAAATCGATGCGGGACGCGAGTGAAAATAATTAAATAAACAGCGAGCATGAAGCCAGTGATTAATAAAATTATGCAAATTGCTTTGCGCAAATTAAAGCGAGATTTTTCTTATCGTTTTATTTGTTTTTTTCGTTCTCTCGCCCATTATTAACGTTAGATGGCATTTAAGGCCCAATAAAAACACGCCGAGAACAAAAACTGAAACTGAAAATCAATAAACACAAAGCCAGCAGAAGTACGTAACAGGCGGCAGCAGCAGCAACAACAACAACAACACCACCCAAATGTTGCAACAACAAGTGAGCAAGTTAAAGAACCTTTGCGATTTGTAAACGCTGCGGAATACCCGTCGAGAAAGGCAGAACAAAAAAAAAGAACATTTCAAGCAAGGCGGCAAAGGGCAGCAGCAGCAACAACAATGTCGACGGAGGGCAGCGACAACAACGGGGATCCCCAGCAGCAGGGGGCGGAGGGGGAGGCGATGGGCGAGAACAAGATGAAGTCCCGCCTCCGCAAAGGAGCCCTGAAGAAGAAGAACGTCTTCAATGTCAAGGATCACTGCTTCATCGCCCGGTTCTTCAAGCAGCCCACGTTCTGCTCCCACTGCAAGGACTTTATCTGGTGAGTAGTTTAGCTTCCTCCGAAAGTAGCCCCCAGCATCCTGTAGTTGCCAGGAACCCCCGTCTTCCTTTAGATATACATCGAACATATATGGACACGCAGCTGTGGTCAAAATAATAGCAGTGCTACCTTAAAGATATTATAAAAATAATTTTAATAAAGTATGAAGAAGTCGACCTTAAAACTGAAATCAACCTAAAATGAATGAAAAATATTCTTATAATAGGAAAAAGTGGACCTATATAGAAAAAAAAATCACTTAAATTGCAGAGTGCAGGACAACAAAATAAGGTTTGGCATAACATTGATACCATTATTATCAAAGAAAATAAAAAATTTCTTTAAATTTACTAAAACCAATTGATAACAATTTAAAATCATTTATTAGTCAATCTCTTTGAAAAATATTTTAAACTATTAAACAAATAAATGGTGTAAAATTTAGGTTACAAAAATATAAAAAATAAGTTCAAAAGCTGCTTTCAAACAATGCTTGTTTGATATATTTATAAGCTAAAAAACTACTACTATTTTGACCGCAACTGTATACACCCCCATTCCTCGGTGGCACTTGTGGGTCTACCAAGCATGGTCAGCATGCGTCCACATAACATCAGTCGTGGGAATCGATAAATGTATATTGACAAGGCGAAAGAACTGAGCAACACAAGAAGAATAACACAAATACAAGAAGCATATAGCAACAAAAGCAAAATTCACAGTGGTCGCCATCACAAGCTGTTTTTTTTTTTTAATAATGGAATATATTTGTGGTAAGCAAAATGTTGAGAATTTTAAAAATATTTCGTTTAAAGAAATATTAAATTTATTGATCGTTTTATGTTGTAATGTATAAAGTTCAATTCTTTAACATCTAATTTAAAATAAAAGGCAAACACTAAAATAATTTGAAAAAAATTGAAGACCTAAGGAAAACTAAGAGGAATGAAAAGAAAATATATAAAACATACATTTCATAAAAATATTCAAATATTTTTCTTTAAAAAATACCTTATTTATTTAAACAACTTTTAAGAAAATGGCGAAAAAAACAAATCAAGAAATTGTTAGATTGGTTTAAAAGTAATTTAAATAATTTCTATTTCATACAAAGCTAACCTATTTAAATTCACATAAGTTATTATTTTGTTTTCTGTTCTGAGCACGCAATCACTGCACCACAAGTCAAGATATTCCCCCGAATTACTTGTTGTTTTAGCTGGCCCGAAAGTTCAACCTAATGCTACAGCAAGCCAGCAAGAACAAAAGCTAACCTGTGTAATATTTAATTTAGGTAAGGCTGCCAAAATCTGTCTTAATCCATTGTTGCTCCCTAAGCAAAAACAAACAGAAAAGCAAGCTAGAAAGCACTGAAATTATATGGGGTAACCTGTTTACTTTTGGCAGTCCTCGCAGGCCTGGCAGTAGCATCCCCGTGGATTATAAATCAATTTCAAGCGCATTAAATTCCCCCGAAAAATCCAAGTTGTGCTTCCGTTGAAAACCTATTTGTTGACATGAATTTTGAACAGACTTTTTGTTTTTACAGCGGTTATCAGTCGGGATATGCATGGATGTGGGTATTTTGAAGGATATACTTTAAGCCATCCGTTGAGTAATGCTAGAGAATCGTGGTAGAATTATCATTTCAAAATAAAAGTAGTACTGAATTTTATCAAAGACAGTTGATTTCAGATTGTCTCGCCCACACAAAATAATTAATTCGCCACTTAATATTCATAGTCAGAGCTGCCCTCTAACCACCAGACACTTTGACGAGCAATTCCAGTGATATTAATTCATATTTAATAAACAAACACACTCTGTCTTCCCGCAAAGTGTCATAATGCCAGAGCGTTGCGTTGACAATTTAAAGCCAGCGACTAATGAATGGATATGGAAGTCGCTTGGCATAAAACCGAGCCAATTTATTAAGTCTGTCTTGTGACTCTCTCGTCATCGCTTTGGGCTCTTTAGCTAATTGTCGGCCAAGACATTTTGGCCATAATTAAATTAATTGCTGTTTAAAATGCGCCACCAGCCGCCAGCATCATCGATCTATGCCCATATAAATCGGGTGGGGCCAAAACCGAAAACCGAAATTTAGGAACCCAAGCGCCAAAAAAACGAAAACGAAACGAGTCTCAAAAAAATGTAGCAAAAAGCGAAGTCACTGTTTGCCGGCACTGCATCATTATTACACGTAATTAACGCGCTTTTTGACAGCAGTACCAGTAAACAGGCTAAAAGCCACGCCCCCCGTTTTTTGGGGGCTGCAGCTAATTAACAACTCCAGCCACTGTTACACTTGGTTTCGACTTTTAATTAATAGTGCGGGGACTTTGGGGGCACGCACACACCGTTCGGTGTTGCAAAAAGGCGTTGCAGGCACGTCGTATCTGAGCCACTGGGGGGTGGTTAAGTGGGTGGATCAGTAGGTGGCTCAGGGGGATGGTTCAGTGGGTGGCTCAGGGGGCGGCTCAGGGGGTGGCTTAGGTACCGCTGCGGCAGCAAAGTGTCACCCGCCTTCGTTTGCGGTTAGCAGGTGAAACATTTGCCATGTTTACGGCACGTCATTTGCATAATAGCGCGGAAACCGAAAAGGTCACGATAGAAATTCCAGATAGAAGCCCGAAATACCCTGAACATATCAATTTACAGTTTTCCTACGATAAGAGGGATGTACTATAATTAGATAATTAGATTTAATGCGATTTATACACTGCCAAATAAATGGTTAATGCATCATTAAATAATAATAGCGATTATTTTTGATATTTATTTTTTTGCTCAGAAATAAATATTATTATTGAAGAGTTTAACAAAAAAAAACAATCTTTGTGGTTTTTAAAGTAAAACTTTTAAGAATTACACTCCTTCAAAAATATGCAAATTACTATTTTTCGGATACAAATTAAAAAAAAATTTAATTATATTATAATTGTTATTACACTATAATTTCAAAATTTAAATAAATCAGTTTTAGGATAGATATATATTTGCTTGATATTTCTAGGTTCTTTGGTATTTTTTTTACAATTGTTGCAGAATAGAGTAGTAAGTAGAGAAGTAGTAGAGTAGTAGTAGAGTAGTAAGGTTACATATAAAGAGAATTTGCATATAAAAATGAACTTGATAGAACTGCTGCTTTTTTATTGCCCCAAGTAAAATAAGAATAAATTTGAAAAATGTGTAAAATATAAAGAAAATTGTACACAACTTTGAACTAAATTGTAATATAACCCTTACAAAATTATAAAATTGACCATATTAATTTGTTCATAGTAATTGTAACATGGACTTTGGTAAACCGCAAACAAGAACTAATTAATTTGCACAAAGTTTAATTAGAAAACAATCTTCTCATGACAATCAACTAATTCTATTGAAATCTAATAATATAACAAAAGTTTGAATGCATTTTTTGCCGCTATGCGGGACTATGTTTTTCGTTTCATTAATTAACTTAAATTGCACACATTTTTAACTCCATCTCTTTGTGTCAGTTGTTTTTTTTGGCGTTGTCGGAAAATATGCGCTTAATTAAAAATGGAAATGCATAAAAAGAATCCGTGAAAAAATAATTGTGTGGGCGCAGGCGATGGGGATGAAGGCGAAACGGAATCATAGTAAAGTATAACCTGCAGGCGCGGAAAAATTGCTTTTTCACTTCATTTGATGGGCAAACAAAAACGGGGAATAGCCGAGGGAAAGCAGCGAAAAACAGTGAAAAGCCAGGAACAGACAACCTGGTCAGACAAAGGAATTAAAATTAAATGGGTGGTGGAAAATGGGGAATGGGAAATGGAAAATGCAATTTGCTGGCTGCAGCAGAGAGGCAGCAAACAGAATTATGAAACGAGCCACAATTTCGCACTCGTTAGCAGCGATAACAAATCGCCCGATTTGTGTGAATTGTCCAAGTGGTTACGACCTAATCGGATCAACTTTGCTTTGGCTTAACGGACCGAACTTTGGACGGGTTTCGGGTCCGTTCGTGCTGAAACTTATTCAACTGCAGTTGCAAAAGTTGGCCCAACAGTTTCCATCGCCTCAACTTGCTCCTTTTATAATTTCTATATATATATATATACTAATATATATATGAATTCTATACTATATAAGTATGCGTCGTTTTCTCACCGTGCATGTGAATAATTTGCTTGTCCCAAATTGCAGCCAAATGGGCACACAGAAGGGGTTAAGGGGTTGGTCCGGCGGTTTGTGGTCAAGTCATTTACGGCAGAGGGTTGGATTCCGGGTGGAAGCGGCTCACGTAACCCCTATCCTTTGGGCCACACAACAGGTTCTGGCCATTAACCAGTAGCCCGAAATGGGGCCCTGAATGGCTTTAAGTTTTTAGTTGAAATAGGCAAATATCCAGGGAAGCGTTTGGCACGTTCGTGAGCTTTAATTCTGGATTCTATTATACATTTTACACACACTTAATTTTAAATGTAGGTACATACACGTTTAGTAAAAACTTAGCAAACATTTTATAAACCATAAGTCTAGATAGTGCATGAATTAGTATTGTTATTATCATATACATATAAAATCTGTTTATAAGAAATGATAACTGTTTCGATGAAATTCCTTATTAATTTGGTACTTGGCGTATCTCCTTGATATGTTTGAATATAAGAAAATGCAAGAGAAAAAGCAAAATGTTTCTATTTTATAATATCAATTTTACATTCCTAATTGGTAAAATCAAAACGCATTTGTTGATTTTAGATTATCTAAAATGTACTGGAAAACTAAATTTATTATCCAAATTTGTTTACATAATAAAGGATAAATTAAATTATATGCATTAAATATTGCTTAAATACTGATTGCTATTTACTTCTAAATTTCCACATTGACTTATCGAACATCATATTAAAATCTTGCGAATTTTGATTGGTCAGATATTGATTTAAACAGTAGGCCATCAAATAGAAAAACAATTAGTAAACAGAGTATTTAGTAAAGTCAATGAATACGAATCGAAATAAAGTAGGTTAAGCTTTGTAATTGTTTGGTGTTATTTATAAGTAAAAACGTAACCGTTCGCTTAAACAATACATTTTTGTCACATTGCCCCATAAGGTATACAAGTTTCTTTAGAGCAGTCACAATAGTAGCGAAACAAACAAGTTGACATTTGAACAGGCCTTTGGCGTGTGACCCTTGTAAATTGTCTGCTCGGTTTTCATATTGATTTATTTTAAAAGGCCCCGCGGGGCTGGCGATTGTTTCTCCTCCCCCAAGTAGCATATTGATTAATGGAGAATTAAATATTTATGCTAATTGATGTGTAATGGCAGAAAAAACTCGTCGACAATTGCAAATTGACCGTAACCACTTGCTTTCAATGTTTTGTTTGCAGGGGCTTCGGGAAGCAAGGATTTCAGTGCCAAGGTAAGGGATCCCCACGAGAACATCGATTTCGTGCAGCGATTTGCGAATAATACCCTTTCTCCGCCTGCAGTTTGCTCCTACGTGGTGCACAAGCGGTGCCACGAGTATGTCACCTTCATCTGCCCGGGCAAGGATAAGGGCATCGATTCGGTAAGTGCGCACCAACACATATGCTAAACAGGATATACTATATATAGTGCATAGTGCATAAAGATATGCAGGATAAGGCACCAACTGCATTTCCATGTGCGAGTGGGGATGGAATGGGATGGGGGCTTTGGGATGGGGGCTTATTTGCATTGCTTTTAGTCTTTGTGGGCTCTGTCAAATTAAACTGTCATTTGGGTTTTCGGTTGTACCCAGTCCGTCCGTCCGTCCGTCCATCCATCCGTCGGTCCCCAAAGTCCCAGCTGTCATGTCCTCTTGTCCCGACTCGCCTGTCAACTTTGCTTTTCCTGGCTAAGCAGACTGGGGCTAGAAATGCGACCGGGGTTTTCCTTTGCTGCTGGGTTATGGAAAATGTCATTTGGATTTTTCCGCACACAGCCAGTGCTCTACACTGTGTATTTATGCAGGGAAACCACAAAACACGTAGAAATGTGACAGGAATCACTTTTACTAAAACATAATCTTAGGTAACATTGAAGTTTAGTTAGTAAACGTAGCCAATACGTCTTTAAAATTAATAATAACAGTTTAATAAACTTTATTGTGCCCCAAATATGACAGGAACCACTTTAACTAAATGATAATCTTATAAAACTATAAAATTTGGTTAGTAAAATTTGCCCATTGCTCTTTAAAATAAATAATACAAATAAATAAATATTTATTACATAGCCTAACAAATTTAAACTTGTGTTGCCCCCCAAATAAGATACTTGAATTTGTTTTCAAGTGTAATGCTGGGCTGTCCAAGGAGAAACGTTGTGATGGGGAGACAGAAAAATATGGCAGAAATATAGAGAAAAGAGTCTCAGATGGATTGGCTTTTAGGACGAGACAGCTATGAAATAAGGTATTTTTTTTTTGGGCATAAATTTCAGTTCCTCCCGTAAGCTACGCACATGGAAAATGCAGAAAATAAAATACTTTAGTTTAACAGCCGTAGCAAACTCACAATAAACTTAAGTAGAGTTTGTCCTTTGTTATGTTTTCAGTGCGAAAGTTAAACGCGATTTTGTTAATTTGTCATTGTGCTCTGTTGATTTACCATGAACCAAATTTGTACTTTGTATTCTTTTCCATGTGTGCATCCACCAAAATCAAACCAAAAACTCAATTCGCTGTCCAACTCACGCTGTCACGAAACCACGCACCAAAAAAAAAAAAAAAAAACCAAATGAATTCGCAATCGAAATTGAAATTGAAATTCTTGCAACCACAAAAAAAAATAAATACAATAATAAAGGACTCACCAAAAACTCAACACAATTTCGAGCCATTCACATACGCAGGACCCACGTTCTGCGATCATTGTGGTTCCCTGCTGTATGGCATTTACCACCAGGGTCTCAAATGCTCAGGTAACCCCAACCCCTAAGCTAGAACCCTTTTGAACCTCTTACTCTCCAATAAGTGTTTTCCCTTCAGCTTCTATCTTCTATCTCTAACCACAAAAGTTTTTCGCTTCTCTCTTTCACTTAACTTTTAATCCTTTTCCAAAAAACCAAAAAAAAACCCTACTGACAGTGTAAATAATGATGATAATGTGTGTGTGTGTGTGTGTGTGTGTATGCGTGTTTTTTTTTTTTTTTTTATCAGTTGGTTTTATTGTCAGAATATGGTATTTACAAAGATTAGGGAAGAAGTAATAAAGATAAAGTAGGGTAAATAGATATAGCTGTGAGTTGGTTTATTCCTTATAACCCTGCGGTACTACCTCGTGGCTTTGCTTCGCAGGATCAGGATTTGCTCTGTGGCGTTGTTCAGCTTGATGTCCCTCGTCGCACTCGGTCGCGCTGCCTCTCTAGGGTCCGTAGAGCTTTCATCGCTACCGCAGCGAAGTTACTCATTTGGCCCCAGAACACCTCATCCGAGATCATACGGTCTCCCAGCGCTGTCGGGTCCCTGGTCTCGCCCATGAATACATCCCTGTCGCGGTCAAACCGTGGACAGGTGAAGATGATGTGCTCCGCCGTTTCCTCAACACCGCATTGCGGGCAGCTAGGGTCATCGTCGTGGCCAAACCTGGTAAGGTAGCTCCTAAAGCAACCATGCCCGCTGAGTATCTGGGTCAGCCAGAAGTTTACCTCTCCTTTCGGTCTTTGCATCCACTTTTTGATATCTGGTATTACTCTATGGGTCCAGCGTCCCTTGGTTGATTGCTGCCAACGAGTTTGCCACGCATCTAGGCTTTTTCCTCTTGCCTTCGCCTTGATTTCCCGCCTCTGTGAAGGAGTGCACTGCCTTCCCAGATTGGCGATATCCTCGTGGATCTCCTTAGCCTCGACTGCCAACAAGTCGATGGGGATCATTCCCGAGATAACTAGAGCTGCGTCATCGGATACTGTGCGGAATCCGGAGCAGACTCTCAGGGCACAGAGTCTATAGGTAGATTCGAGGTCTTTCCTGTACGACTGCGTTTCGAGAGCTTCGGCCCATATTGGGGCGGCATACAACATTGTCGACCGGGTAACCGATTGGAGAAGTTGTCTACGCCCTTGTTTTGGCCCCCTCGTGTTCAGCATTATTCTTGATAGTGCCCTAGCGATGTTTGCGGCCTTTTTGTTTGCTTCCGCGAGGTGTTCTCTGAAGGACAGTCTTGTGTCAATCATGACTCCCAGGTACCGTATAGCTCTGGTTGATCCTATCGTGCAGCCACCGACTTGAATTTTCGCTGTCTCTACTTCCTTACGGCTGGATATGAGCACTGCCTCCGTTTTGTGGTGCGCTATATTGAGCCCTACCGCTAAGAGCCACTCCTCGATGATTGCCACTGCATCGTTTCCAAGACGCTCTGCGTCTTGGAGTGTTTTGGCCACAATGACGATGGCTATATCGTCCGCAAAGCCTATCACCTTCGATCTTCCTGGTAACGCCAGTCTTAAGACGCCGTCATACATGGCGTTCCAGAGCAGCGGTCCCAGTACAGACCCTTGGGGAACTCCACAGGTGATCTTGTGTTCCATCACCCCTCTATTTGTGTCATAGAGTAGGGTGCGATCGCTAAAGTAGGACTGTACAATGCCTACCAAGCTCTCCGGTACGCCAAGTTGGTGGAGTGCTTCCAGGGTAATGTCCCAGCGTGCCGAATTGAAGGCGTTTTTGATGTCCAGGGTCACAACTAGGCAGTACTCCTTGCTGCCTCCCCGCCATCTCGTTCCTTCTATCGCCTTCGCCGCAGTGCACTTAAGTGCAGATATCGCGTCAATGGTTGATTTCGCCTTTCTGAAGCCGAACTGCATGGGTGACAGATCCCCGGATGCTGAGATTGCCGCCTGCAGTCTGTGACTGATGCATCGTTCCAGTGCCTTGCCTGCGTGGTCAATCAGGCATATTGGCCTGTATGAAGACGGGTCCTCCGGTGCTTTGTTCGGCTTAGGTAGCAGAACCAGCTTTTGAATCTTCCACCGCTCCGGGAAGAGGTTTTCCGCCAGACACTGGTTGAAGACGTTTGCGAAAGCTTCTGGGTGCTCGGTCATGGCTAGCTTCACAGCAGTATCTGGGATTCCGTCCGGACCCGGTGCTTTCCCCTGCGGGCATATCCCTGGCAACTTTCTTGATTTCATCCGGATGGATTCTGATCGGTGATGTCTCTGCAGGTTCTGCGTACGCGCGCTGAGGAACTGAGGTTACTGTTGGAAATAGGTGCTCTACGATCGTCTTCATGTGGGAAGCTTCTCCGGCGCCGAGGGGCTTTACCTGGCCCATCTTTTTGACTACAACTTTGTAGGCTGCACCCCATGGGTCCTGCTCAGCTGAGTCGCAAAGTTCCAGGAAACACTTCTTCTTGGATTGCTTAATGAGCCTTTTTAGAGTCCTGCGGCTCTCGGCGTACTCCAGCCTCCTAAGCTCGATATTTGGGCGACCTCTCGCCCTCTGCTGCCGCCTTCTGGCCCTCAGGCAGTCGCTGCGCGCTTCCGCGATTTCCCCAGTCCACCAGAAGACTGGTTCTAGGTTCCGATGGTGGCTCCTTGTTTCCCTCATGCTGGCTTTGCATGCCGTCACCATGGCTCCCATAAGCCTCGCCGAGCTGCTCTCCGCGTGTTCACCAGTTTCGGGATCTCTCCATCCTCTGAGAAACGCGTCCTCCTGGAACGTCTTTGGGTTAAAGCGTCTGTTTGTTGGGACCGTAGTAGCTGGCCGACCGCATGCTATGTCGCAAATGATGGCCTTGTGGTCGCTTGCAGTGTAGATTTCACTGAGGCGCCAGCGGGCTTGCGAGAAAAGTGAGCTGCTGATGAATGTAAGGTCCACAACGGAGCCGGCTCCTGCTCTGCTAAATGTGTGCTCCGATCCGGAATTTAGTAGAGCTACGTCAAGTGACGCAATGGCTTCAAGCAGTGTTCTCCCTCTGCTGTTCGTGCAGACTGACCCCCATTCCACGGCCCACGCGTTAAAGTCGCCAGCAATGATAACGTTTCGCCTTCCCCTTGCGTCGTCCACCAGTTCATCCAGAACTGCCGCGAACTCCTGGAGAGAGAGGCGTGGTGGCAGATAGCAGCTGTAGATTGTGACCTCGTTCACCGTAGCTCGAATGAAAAACGAACCGGCTCGCAAGTGCTGTGGCCGGGATGACCCAATCGTCAAGATCGCCGCAGACTTCGTAGTATCCAGTACATAGTGTGTATGCGTGTGCCTGTATCTGTGTGGGAATTAAATTTTAAACGCAATTTGACCTGGTCAACAACATGGAGAAAGTTTCTTTTGCAGGCCCTAAAAGTTAATTATTTAAATTGTTTTACCTACAAAGATACAGCAGCAGATATATGTGTACTATAAGCAGGCCGCACCTTTGTAAATATGTCGATACACCCAGCAAAAAGGCTTTTCTTTTTTCGTACATTGTTTGCTTGCTCTTCACTTTCCCGTAACCGAACCACACCGAAAGTTTTCTCTGTGCGCCACGTGTAACCCACTTTTCCACCCACTTTTCCGCCCACTTTCCCCCCCTCCCCTTTCAACCAATTCATTTGCATAATTATGCACATGCCAGGGATACTCCGAGGATTCTAGTGCGGAGGAGGGACAAACTTAGTTGCCCAACAATGCTTGTCATTTGTTTAGAAATTTTTGTGCATCTGCCCTGTGATATAAATATAATTTTAATGTGCGTTTCGGCCCACTAACAAATTGCGGAAGTGCTTCAGATAAAAAGTTTTTTTAGGTCCTGCCTCGAGGTTGCTACATTTAAGGAAAACATAAATGTGCTTAGTTTTTGATCCCTTTTATAGTTGTGGGTTTGACCGACATTTTTTTGCTTTTCTTGCAAAGAAAAAAATGTTTTAAATTTTGTAAAGCAAATTTGGTTTAGTTAGGTTTAATAAATATTCATTTTTGACTATATTCGCTGCAGTGGTGGAAATTTAAGCGCTAAATTGGGGTTTTAAGTTGGCTAGTAGCATTACTTAAGGGTTAAGTTAAGCTTTCGTTTTTGAATGACTCAACTTTAAGTATTTTAAATTTTATATTAATCGCCTATTCGGTAAATATTTATATAAAATTATTTCATTTTATGTTCCTCTTTGAAAAGAGGATTGGCTATTTTGGCTTATATTTAAACAAAGATGACTTTGTCTTTGCCTAGAAACAACACTTGTTTTGGTACTACAAAAAAATGTTCCATTTTTATATATAAGTTAATTTTATATATTTTATTTTAAATAAAAGTATAGACTACAAACCTATATTTCCTTTGACTTGGAAATGTTTCCCTGTTTGATACCAACATTTTGTTTTGTGCTACAATGATATGTAGCAGTTTTGTATTTCATTTTGCTCATTTTATTCTAAATGATGGTATAGTTTAAGTTTTTTTAATGCTTTATCTGTTGTACAGAAATACAAATAGTAATGATGCTACCCCTTGAGCAGCTTCCAACCGACTTCTTGGCCTGGCCCTTAAGTATTATTTTGGCTGGCTGCTTGAGGCAACTGTAACTACTATAGAGCCCCAAACATGTGGTTTGTCAGTGGGTCTGGCAATTAATTCACAGCCATGGCAACTGGCTTAATTAGAACGAGTCAAGTGTAAACACCAAATGCAGAGGCAATAAGAGAGCATTCTCCGAATCGGAAACTCAAATGTCACATTCATTTTTGCCGTTGAGTGTGAAGCCATGGCAATGGCAACCCCGAAAAGATTGGCCCCTGCAAAATGCTTAACTCACTTAGCCTTTTTTCTTGGCCCTGTGTGTGTGTTTGTGTGTGAAATACAATCTGGCCCAATACGCTTAAATGTTACCATTGTGTCAGTGTTGCGTTTGGCTCTTTGTTGCCACCAACCTGTGCAACAAATCGGATCAAATTTATTGCGACAGGTGTAGGCAAATCAATTTTTGCCAAGGCTAAGCTTCACACCTGA